AGAGAGAGAGAGAGAGACAGACAGACAGAGAGAGAGAGAGAGACAGAGAGAGAGAGACAGAGACAGAGACAGAGACAGAGACAGAGAGAAATTGTTGTTTTCACTGCAAATGAGGGACAATACACAAACATATTAGTGTCTACACAGAGAGCAAAATGCTTGGCTAAAACAGCTGCAGATGACCTAGCAGACAGAGTGGGCCCTGCCAAAAGGGAGGCAGAAGGACAGAGGAGTTGGGGCAATGGAAAGCATGAGAATGTGGGGTGTGGCAGGGTGGCCTTGAGACACTAGAAGCCAGGAGGAAGTCACAGGGATCGGCACAGGGATGTCCTGAAGCAAAGGAGAGCAGGCCATGAAACTGGTCAGAGACGAAGGCTGCAATGCAGGTAACTGACCATCCTCCTCATGGTGCTGGCCAGGTGGGGTGGGACCTGGCCTCTCGAGACTCAGGCCAGGATGCCCTCAGCTGCCCGAACGCCACATCAGCCCAGGTTCTGGCAAGGAGCAGATGGTACATGCAAATGGGGATGATTGGCAAGAAGCCTAATAAAGACTATTTATAAACCTGCGGCCTGGGTACTGGGAACCAAACAATGCAGTTCAGGGGGGCAGGAAGGAGGTTCCAGTACAGCCAGGCCTGAAGGTGTGAGAGGAGACAGAGTGACTCCCATCACCAGATGAGCTGGGAGGCACTGGACTCCCCACACCCTTGCACCCGGACTCTTGTTGATGCCCCCACTGGCCAAACCCAGCTGGTGATCCACAAGGTTTGGACTCTGGGCCTCACAGCCAGCTGTCTAAGAGTGCAGAGCAGGAGGTGACAGCCAAAGCTACCCATGCCCCAGCGAGCAAACCCTAGTGAACTCTATTTCCCTGTAGGGCTGGTGGTAGATTCCACTACTAAATGTGTGTAATAAAAGCTGGAAATGGTACGCCCTGTTTCCAGATAAACAATGAGCCGCCTCTGAAACCATTTCAATTCAAATCCTAAACTCATCTCATATCTGAGGTCCTCTTTGTCCCCAGAGATGTGCAGAAATCTTGCAGAACACAGAGACACTATGGCCCCCACTGGGAGGGAGGGAGAGGGCTTGGAGGTGGTACCTGCAGTGTGCGTGGTATCTATTTTTATTCTCCCTTCTTACTTGCCAATTAGTGTGGCTTTGTTTGCAGAAGGCACTGAAAGGCTAGGAGGCTTCAGTTTCTAGATTTCTTAGCCTTGCAGAAAAAAATCCTAACTCCCGTACCCAGCGCAGCCTATGCATGTGCTTTCTCTTTTCTTCTTTCTTCTTTTTTCTTTTTTTCGGTACTGGGGTTTGAACTCAGGACCTTGCACTTGCCAGGCAAGTGCTTATTCTACTGAGCTATCTCCCCAACCCTCTCCTTTCTTCTTTCCCTTCATCTGCTCCCTCTCTCCTCCCCTCCTTCACTTCCTTCTGCATTCCTGTCTCCTCTCCCTCTCCACCTTCCTTTCTTTTACAGAATTAGTCCCTGGGACAGCGTTTCCTTGGAACTGCCCATCTGCTCCCCAGGGCAGTGCCTCTTTCACTATTGCTGTATGCACGCAACTGTTCGCTTTCTGAGGCTTCCCGCATGTTCTGATGGTCACCACTGTATCTTGAAAAGGATAAAGCAAACAAACACACAGATGGGTATCAACCATTGCAAAAGAGGCACAGTCACATGACGCTCTCACGCCTGGGGGGGGGAGGGGGCGGAAAGGGGCGCTCTGGGCATGCAGGTACCCGTGCTTGCGTACACTGTCTCTGCAGTCCACGTCCACCCGTCCACTGTTCAGCAGCAGCTTCAGCAGGGCCAAGTTTCCTCTCCGTGCTGCCCAGAATGCAGCGTTGGCAAGCGGAGTTTCCTTCTGGAAGAGCAAAACCAACAGCATCTTAAAATTGACCTTTGCTAACATGACAACTTGCCTGAAAATAATACCATTCAAAAGGGAGAGTTTCCTGCTGGGTCATAGCATTCAGAGATTGCCTCCCCAGCAATAAAGAGAGGACTGGAAAATACTCGGCTGTGGGAAGTGCTCGGATGCCAGACGCTCGAGCCGCAAAGCTGTCGGCAGAGCTGATAATACCGCAGTACTACGGTTACAGTTCCGCACTATTGTTATTGCCATATTCCTCCCTTCCCCCATGTCTCACTTCCTGGCCTCTGTTACGGCTTTGTTCACAGTTTCCTTTATGCTAGAAATGAACTTCCCCCCACCCCCTTCACGGCCAAGGTTCTGTTCAAATGCCATTTTCCCCCTACTAAAACACTCCAATCTCTTTCCCTGTATGCAGAACACAATCCCTCCCCATTCTGACCTCCCTAAGGAGTTTATGAATATTTTTTCTTTCTTTTTTGTTTGTCTTTTGGAGACAAGGTTTCACTGTGCACTTCAGCCTGGCCTTGAGCTCACTTTGTAGCTCAGGCTGGCCTCAAACTCACAGTGATCCTTCTGCCTCAGCCTGCTGAGTGCTGGGATTATAGGCATGGGTCACCCCTCCTGGCCATGAGCTCCTTTTCTATGGCCGAAATACTTTCAGATGCAGCTGCTTGGGTAAATCTTTCACTTTTCCTCCCACCAGTTTCTATGGCTTTGGATGCAAGGTGCCAGAAGTTTCGGCTGAGAACAAGGAAACTTGGGCAGAGAATGCCCTTCTGTATCCTTCACTCCACTGGTGGGGTATTTGAAAGTGGCAAACTTCATGTTGGCCATGCCTGCGGGAGACACAGAACTGGAGAACATGTCTTCAAAAGCAGTAGCACAGCTGAGCCAGTCGTTTCAACCCTTAGACGAAGAGGGTGGGCTTCAGGACCAGAGAGCTCTGGGGTTCCGGACAGCCCTGTGCACCAGCCTCGCCTGTGGGGGAACTGAGTGTCTTCCTGCTGCAGTAGGGATCACAGAACCTGCCTGCCTTAAAGTTCACTGAAAGGATTACATGGTGTAGATGAACTGCCTGACACGGTGCCCACCACACCAGAAATGCTGACGAGTGCTTGTTCCATTTCTTTACAAAGTTAGAATCAATACACAAAAGTAAATTTGAGGATTATATGAATAGAGAATTTTGCTAGTCTCAGGAAATATGGTATTCTCAGTTAAATTAAATAGAAATTAAATATATACTCGGCTTTGAGAGGAATTGGGACCTCAGGATTAGCACACACACAAAACAGAGATAGCAGAATTGCAGCCTGAGGAGAATCTGAAGACAGCCCGGCCTCAGGACGGAGATGCAAAACCAGGCCTTCAGGACAAACAGCGGGACACCCAGACACAGTCCTAGCCCAGGCCCGGTGAGTGTGTGGCAGAGCTTCTGGCTACCCTGCACCAGAGGGACCTATTACTGGTCCCAGCCCAGGCGTAGTGTGGGTGAGACCCTCTTCCACTCCTTTGGGACGCCCCCCACCACTCCGCAGCACCTCCCCCACCGCACCCGCCGAGTAGGAATTTCTGCCATGTTCCAGGAACCCCCAGAGCCAGTCTTAGCCCAGGCCTGGTGAGTGTGTGGGAGAGCTGCCTCTCCCCCCTACTCCACCTTGTCCCCTCCAGGCACAGCTCAGGCCTGACATACAGGCCTGGGGTGAAACCCTGCAGCTGTGATCCCTGCAGAGAGCGTAGAGGATAGAACCACCCAGCTAGTCCACGAGCAGAACATCTTGCCAGAGGGACACAGTAGGTTCACCCCCAAGGGCAGCACCAGGAAAGAGCTAAGCACAGCAGCCAGACCCAAGCCAGGCACAGCTGGATACATCCAAACGTAGATCTGCAACTGAACTTCAGTACGTGCTAAGCTTATAACTACAATGAAGATCTACAAGAAAGTTTAGAAGACAGTGCTACACAAAATGACGAGAAGGAACAAAATACAACCTCAGAACACAAGCCCAACCGTAACAAGTGCAGAGGACACTAACACAGAACAAACCGGGAAACACACAGCTGAAAGCAATGAACCAACGGCTTCTGAAATAAAGAAACAGCTGCAGAAAGGTATAGAGGACCTCAGATTGGAAATAAAAAAAGAAATCCCTGAATTAATAACAT